TTTATACACACAGCGGAGTTCTGGAGCATTCCCTGTGGTCCTCGCGGTACCCTGCGGTCACTGTCCGCAACCCCGTAAAGTGTAGGTGCTCCATGCCAGGTACAGTTCAGACAGTAGTTTTTTAATCACTGCAGTTAAATATTCAACAACATACTTATCACGTAACTCACACTAGCAGAAGGTTTCCCCCCAGAATTGGTTTGCTAATGTAAGAATATACCAAAATACCAATCACACAGATGTTTATAGCAACAGTTCAAAACAAGTTAACTCACATACTGAAGCACAAATAGTACCACTGCTGTTCCAAATGTACAGGTTTAATGGCCTGAACAGAAAAAAAGCACAATATAAAACTCGCTATCACTCCTCTATGCAGCTGCAGCTTGTGGCTAACCATGGAAGAGTGGACTATTTTATAGATCATGTTTTGTTAGCATGTGAGGATTCAAGAAGAGTGTTTTGCTTCTGTATATGCACTACTACGTGTGTTGTTTCACCCCTTAGCTGGCAGTACCAGGGAGCCCATGGTGCTGGCAGCTATTTGCAGTCCCCCAGGGGATGACAACGCTGTGACACTCAGCTGTGAGTGGAAGGAGGCAGCTGCCTGTCAGGGATGTCATGAGACACTGCGAACGGGGCAGACCTGCAGGGGTGCAGAGCATACCTGAATGGAGCTAAGGAAATAAACTGCCTCATGATATGTAACCTCAGGTGAGCTTTAGCAAATGATGAAAGTCCAGAAAGTTGCTTTTTTAATGGAATAATATGTAAAACTGTGGCTTAGCCTTCACTAGCCTCCAAGCAGCACCACAGAGAGAATAGTCCCTGTCTCCGGGCCAGGAAGTCACTCATACAATCACAGACTGGTCTGGGTTGGAAGGGACCTTAAAGATCATCCAGTTCCACCCCCTGCTATGGGCAGGGACACTTTCCACTAGACCAGGTTGCTCCAAGCTCCATGCAACCTGGCCTGGAACACTTCCAGAGATGGGGAGTCCAGAGCCTGTGCCAGTGCCTCACCACACTTACAACTCACTTTGTTTTAACTGCAAGAGTGACAGATGACACTGCTCAGCTCAGACGACTGCTGTGCTCTTGTTTTCACTGAATGAAAGATTCAAACACCCCAGCAGTGAGTGCAGCAGGTAGGAGGACACTGAGCCCAGTTACACACTTCTTCTCTGATGTGGTAACTTGGCTGCTGATTCCCTCACTCAGGCCTTTCCCTAGGACCACAAAACCTTTCTACCCTGCAAAAGAGAAGAGTGGGATAAGCCATCTCCAGTATGTTGTCTGCAGCTGATAAAGACTGCTCTGTATCTCAAAACCCAAGGGGAATTTTTTCCAGAACAAGTTTTCCCTCAATCTCTATCAGGTGTTTCCAACTTGTGGCTAAAAAAAATATTTTTAAAATAATAACGAAAACATGGATGATACGGAACAATTATTCTGAATTAGTGCTAGTGAGTGTATGTCACAGTAAGATTTAATAGCTGAAATGTACTTGACACAGAAAATTAACTGAATATATTAATATGCAAAGTTTTGTTTGTATTTTGAAAGTAAACTACTTTTGTTGTGCCTTAGGTTCAAATATAAACCTTATAAACATCCATAGCCTCTGTTATAAATTAAACAACACTTGTCAACATTCAAATCTCAATAAACTTTGGCAGCTCTTTGGTAAATACTCATAAATATCAGTTAACAAAACAGTCAAAAGGGAGAGGGGAGCCTCTTCTTGTAAAGTTCCACACAGGGGAACAGAAATGAGAGAGCTCCCTAAGCAAAATCTATGGCCAAGATTGGTAGATTTTAATGAGATCAGCAGCTCATCCTTCCTTTTTTCTTTTTTTTTTACACTGTCTATTGAAATACTATTACACTGGGATTTTAATAAATTTCAGACAATTTTTTGTGCTCTACCCTATATACACATTACAAGTTTATACATAAGCAATAGTGGCTGTTTATGAGCAGAGTTAAGTTTCAGTGCATTTAACAATTAATTATTGCACACAGAATAATCTCAAATGCCCAATTATTCTACTGGATAAATGTAGCAACAAATATAACCTCTTATATCTTTGAACACCTATCTTTCTGTAAAATCATGAGCTGATGACACCTTGGGTGCCAGAGAGGTGAAAGGATCTGCAGGGGACCTGTTGCTGGTTGCTCTGGATGGTACAGGTGGTGCAGGGGGTCTTCTGGCTGGCATTGTATAGAAGCAATCAGTAGAACTTTTGTTCCAGTCATCAGCAAAGTGAAAGTCTGAATGAAGAAAAGTGTTTTGTTGAGTGCCCAGCAGATCTGGAGATCCAGCTGCCTTCCTGGAGCCAAGTTGCTTAAAATCTGGAACACTTTGAGATGGCTTTAGCTTCGCGTTGAAGTTCTCATCCTCATCAAACGTTACCCACCCCTTGGGCTGCACATTTTCTACCATGAGAGATTTACTTCGCAAGCAAAGTGTGTTTTCAGCTGCATCCACAGGCAATAGAGGCTTGTTTGTATTCTGGCTGGGGGGATGCAGAGGAGGGAAGGGATGGCAAGGGGCAGGTCCTCCCAGTACCTGTAAGGGCATTCCGGACTCTTGTGTTTCTGGTCTAAATGGGTTTCCAGGAGTTCTTTCAGTGAATGGATTTGTGCAGTTCAGCCCAGTAATGAAAGGATTTGGAGAGCTGCGTTTATGATCCAGGGATGCGGGGAAGGCTGGAACAAGAGGCATTGCTGGCATGCAATTTACAGTATTTGATATATCAGCATTTCGTTGTGTTGCTGAAGGCAACTGTGTCAACTCCTTTTGGTTTAAGGTCAGAGCAGGTGATATTCGGGCAGATGTCTGCATCTTGGACATGAGCAGCTGAAATGACAGATCTTCAAAGGGGTCACTGCTGGGCTGGGGGTCGGGGTTGGAGCAGTATGATCCATTTGCTTTCATCTGCAAAGAGAACAACACACTCAGGAATCATGTGGCTGGATGGCTCCAGGTTATTCCTAAGTAAAAGGGAATCTCACTTCTCACCCTTCAACAGGAACCCTAACACAATTTGTTTGTAACTGGAATGGTTGCTTCTTTTCTGGGAAACAACAACCCTGAACCCCTTCTCTGAAGAAATACCTATGAGCTGTTAAACACCATCTCCCCCCACTCAGTGGTTGGTTCAGTTGCAATCTACTTTCTGCAGGCCCAAAATCCCAGGAAAAAGCACTAAGTGAAGGCTGTGTAAGAAAATCTTTGAGATACTGTATTCTAAACAAGGGATAACCCAGAACAAACATGAAATAAAAAGCTCTAGGTTATGCTGCTTGAGGGTTTCTCACAGTGATATTACAAGCAGTATTTAGGCATCACAATGAAAGGAAACATTAGTGTTATTAGTATATGCACATCAGACTGTTCTATGTGGACATATACATCCATAAGCATCTCCAGTGCTTCTTGGCATGGGAAGGGACAGTCACTGGTTCCAGATTTTAAAATAGCAAGTTATCCTTGTTTAGAATAATACCAAATGGAGAAGACAGAGTTTTCTCCATAGAACTATTCTGCTTTCAAAAACAAATACATTTTATACATTTCTTCAAACAACAATGCAATTTTTTAACCTTGTAACAATTGTCCAAAAAGGTGGAGTATCTACCTTGGTCAAGACACCACACTGACAGAACAGAGTTTGGAGCCTCCCCTTATTAAATGAATTAAGCTTAAGTTAAAACAGCTTCTGAGAATTCAAATTTCACAACAAGAGTTCATCATTTTAACACATTGCCTTAATACACCCAAAGAGTTTGGATATTTAGCATGAAAATTCTGTTCATTAATGTTTTGTGGAGCTAGGGTGCTAGCTAAAACTAGCAACTAAAATACAGCATTATTATAGCCTAACCTCCATCTTCAGCCATCTGGGTTTACTGCATTTATTGTGACTAGATTGAAGCATGTCTCCATGCATCCACTGCCTAAGCAGCAACACAAAATGAGTCTCCAGGCTTTAGAGACTCTGGGCATTAATAAGACCAGTGCAAGTTTTTCTGTGTATCCAGCATAACAATTTATTAAAAAAAAAACCCTGCAGTTGAATATAGGAAGTATTTTGCAGAATAGTGTTAAAACAAAGGCATCGAGTAACTGAGGGTAAAATGTGAAAAACTGAACTGTAGAAAGAAAGAATCAAATGCAGTCAGGCACCAGCCGGTTAAGTCCTGTGGTCATTAAAGGTAAAAGATCCCAAAGAAACTGTGAATCCCAACTGCTCCTTATTTTAAGTAAAAATTGGCTCTGGATAATTCTGGAACCAAGTGCTTTTAAAATTGTAAAAACCAGTTTATTTTACTTTGGGTAGCACTAAGTTCTCTGTGCTTTCAGAAATATGAAAAAACTTTGACAGTGCAATTGCATCAGGATTTATTTGCATTTATGAGAAGATTTAATGCCAACACGCATAATTTTTGTTCCCAAATAGACTGAGACTAGGAGATTCAGCAGTGACCACGCAACATAGGTGAGGGTCCAACTGTTTCCTTAAAGATGATGAAGCAAAATACTCACTCTGGCACTAATAAATGCAGTCTCACTTTAATTGCATTATGAAAGGAAAAAGCAAACTATGGTATGAGTCAATCCATTAATGCAGACAGGTGGCTTTTAATGGGCGTGGGGCTGCAGATGTATGAAAACAAGATTCATACATCCTTTCTGCTTGAATAGATGGAGACCACATACAATATTGGTAAATAGTCAGATACCTGTTACCCTGACGGTTGCTCCTGCTTGTGAAAGAGAAACAGACATCAGAGGAAAGAAAATTAGGAAGAAAATCCAAGTAACAAAGCAACCTCATGTTAAAAATACTTTCACAAGTTTTCACAAAGCCATTTTTCAGCTATGAATACAAACCACAAATATTTATTATACACTATACTAAACTGTCGATTTCTGTTGTATTCTACTGTAAGCCCAAACCATCAAATGTCATGAAACACCAACTCAGTGTTGTTTCCATACAGGCACTCATTGTGCAGCTGATTGTGCTGCTTTCTGAAGATGGATTATAAGAATTTGAGCACTGATGGTGCTATTAACATCTATTAACATGAAAAGTCCTACAGCTGTCATTCTGGGAACTGTGTGGGTATAATCACTCATCTGCAGTAATAGTTTTTCAAGCTGAAAAAACACATAAGATTTCTCATTCTATCAAAAATTAAAATCTCCTTAGTTTACAATAAATAAAATCTGGTTACAATACCTAATACTCTTTTTTAATGTGGTGTTTGGTAATCTATGGAGTCTTGAATATTCACAAGCAACTATTTCAGAGGTTTAGGTTCAATATCACAATCAAGCTTTGCACAGAAGGATGGGCTTGGAATCCAGTACCTCTTACAAGACATGGTATTTATTTAAAGACCTTTCCTCAGAAAACTGTATTTTTTTGGCCTAAGTTTCCAAAATGAAAAATAGTTAAGAGGCAGACAGAGAGGAAAAGCATTTAAAGATTTTTCAATCTGAATTCAAAATCAGCTGAATTAGGCTGCTTCACTGTGGTACAAAGCAGGCATTAACTAACTGCTGTAGCAAAACAGGGATCTAGATGTAGGCGCAAGGAAAAATCTGAGCAGCACTGATAACCTGCTTCTGCAGTTTTAAGCAGCTGTAAGAAATTACATCTTTTCCTGGAAAAAATTGGTATTTTTTTTATAATAAGTCTAAATGGTTCCACAGAAAAGAATGTTAATGTTACTGTATGACATTTTCCAATTATTTTGATATGTTTCTATATTTTACCTGACACTAGAGAATGGGGAGAAATTTTTCTGTTAAGTGTTTAGCAGCATTATCTTCCTTCAATGAATGATCATCAACACAAAGCACCACATCATGCAATTCCTTGTTTCAAAACCTGTGTTAGCTAGTTACTGAGCAGTTCATCATGCACATGTCGTTATAAAACTGAATTTCTTAAATTGGGTATTTCTCCATACAAAGTTGCCAGATGACAACATAACTTTAAGAACTAGCTGTCCACGAGCTGTCAGCCTGTCATAAGAAATCCCAAGTTAAATGTTTAGTACTTACATGTTAGCTATTCAAGGACAACACATAAGCAATAATTACCCTCCTAGAGCCTGATGACATCTGAATACCTTTTGACCTGTGTTTTCGCTTGCGTGCTTGCTTTAGGAGTTCCTCGCAAGTCTGCAGCATTCAGTAATGTGTTCATTTACACAATGGAAAAATGGATCTACGAGGGGTTTTTTTACTTACTTGCTGCTGGGCTGGAGCAGTTTCAGAAGGCAAACTGTGAGACGATCGGCTACGAGGAGGTGGCTGTGGGGGCTCCAGACCTTGAGGGGCACTTGCCGGAGCTGGCTGAGATGCCACAGGTATGAGGGGCTCCTGCATCCTCAGCACAGGCTGTGGCTGAGTGGCAGGCTGAGCAGGTCCAGCAGCCTGAGGCTTCATTGGTTCAGGAAGCACTGGTGAGCCTAAAAGTACGTTTGAAGTGATTTTCATCGCAAAGAATTGTAACAGAAATTTTAAGGATGGCATGAGGTGTGTGTGGCAACTGGATTGGAAACCATCAAAAGCTCAGCAGATCTCCATTAAAAATTTTTACCGTAGTTTAAACTGAAAGAGTAGGTTTATATGGGATATTGGGAAGAAATTGTTCTCCGAGAGGGTGGTGAGGCACTGGCACAGGTTGCCCAGAGAAGCTGTGACTGCTCCATCCCTGGAAGTGTTCCAGGCCAGGCTGGATGGGGCTTGGAGCAACTCGAGCTTTGAGAGTCAAACAAAAATGCTATTCCAAGCCTTGTGATTACAGGACAACCAATGCAGAGTGTCCAGTGATCAAGAGACGTGATGGGACATGTTGGCATGCTCAGACCAGAACACTGCAGTCTGATCAGTTCTCCCAATAGCATGAAATCTGTGGGTCAAGATCTCATCTCACCTTGAGATTATTATCTGGTAAGGGTTTACAACTCTTGGGGCTGATTACAGAAATTGCCAGAATTCAAGAATCTTAATTTCTAGTGGAAAACAGACCTCTGTTGAAAACAAAGCATTCAAACCAGAGACTGTACCTCTTGACTGAATATAAATATATTTAACTGCTACAGGAAACTCACCCCTTGGTGGTTCAGCTGGTTTGGTCTGAGTCTCAGGTGCTGGTCTTCCCCCCGAGGGACGGACATGGCTTTGTGGGGCACTGATAACTCCAGCTCGAGGAGGAATAGTCTGGCATAGTAATTGGTAGAGAGAAAGTATTTTAGTTCTATTTTGGATCTGTAGTCATCTACTGCTGAATGATTTGGGATAATCAGGGCTCTGTGACAAATAAATTCTTTGATAACAGCTGTTGAACTAGTTTTCTATGCACATAAAAGCAAAGACTATTTTCAAAGCATGATGAGGGTTCAATTCAAAACAAAGAATTTTTACAGCAGTTTTCAGCTTTATATAAATATCTACCTGTGCAACATTAGAAACAGTTATGATTTTGCTAGCATTAATAAGTTAATTTACCTAAGTCTGTGAAGCGACAAAAAGAACAACAGTGACTATTTTATTTGGAGATCTCCTGTTCCTCAACAAACAGTATTAATAAACATACATTCTGCCTCATCTGAAGGTTGGAGTCTTTCCAGATTTGATGGAATGGGAATTAATCCGTTGGGAGTATAAATTTATAAGTCTGCATTTAAAGAGAAATAGGAAGCTATTTGAGATTTCAGCTGAAGCAAAGTGAATTACAAACACCACACTGAAAACTGGATGCAAGGCATAAAAATGCCAGAGTTCAGGGGAAAAAAATATCATGAGACAAGAGAGTTTGTAAGATTTGTTTCCTGTAAAATGTTGCATACCAGAGGATGTTCTGGCAGTGGCTTTCAGAGCAAACCCTATTACACAACTGTACTCAAAAATTATTTAAAAACAAGCAAAGAAACTTCACCACTACAAAACAAGTATTATCCTTGATCATACTTTTACTAAATATAAAGTACTCTACTTAGAGGGCTTTGTTTATCATCTGATTCACTATGCTTGGCTGACTCTATTTAACAACGTTCTGAATGCTTTCAGCCACCTAACCTGAAAATATCTGTCTTCTCTGTGATTGCATTTTGTCATTTCTTTAAACATTCTGAAAGTAAGCAGAAGGATGATTTGATTAAATGCCAAAATGTATTTTTAAAATCCCAAAACATCAAAAAGGAACAGAAAAGAAAAAGAAAGGAAGTGTAAACCAGCCCTCAGAGCCCCTCAGGGGATGCAGCACCCACTGTGGCTACTGTCCCTGGTCCTGAAACCCTTGAAATGAAATCCTGCCCCAAAATGCTCCCGGGGAAAAAAGAAAGAAGTGTTCACAGATTCACAGAATGGTTTGGGTTTGATGGGACCTTAAAGATCATCTCGTTCCAGAAATGGCAAACCCTGTGCTGGTTCTAGATTACAGACATACACACACACGCACATAAAAAGGACCAAAATTTACCCAAATTTTAAAGAAGTTGTTTCACATTTCTGTGAGAACAACAAAAAAGGTCCAAGATCATGAATTCTTCACTGTGAGACTCAATCTCCTTGAGAAAATGAATCAGCCAAAAATTACTTCCATGGAGACTTTCAGCAGCAGTTTTCAGTAGTTGCAATACTGAAATATGCTGCAAAATCTACAGAATTATCCACAAACAATTCCTTAGGAATTTTTTAAGAAGACCTATAGTTATTGTAAACACTTTCCTCTTCCCTAACAAAAGGCTCCTACTTGCTGCTGTTAAGAAAAATTAGGCAGATGTTCTCCATCTCTTGATTTCCTGCTTGAGGTGAAGCATTTGAGCACCAAAAATCCTTCATTCACTTCTTTCAGTTCAGTTCCATAAATTAAGGAATGAAGTACAGAATAAATATTTGTTGAAATAGTTCAATGTTTCATTTTTACATGAAGACCTTTGTCAAAATTAATTTTTAAAACAAGGTATACATTCCATAACACATCAAGTAATCACAATATAATGCATCAACTGCCTATGTAATGCTTTAACTGCCTGCAAGCCACTAACCTCTGCCAGGATTTCTATTTCAGCCCAAAACAGATAATACATTTTATCATACCAAATCAGCAATGCAGTCAGTAAGGACATACAATACAAAGAGTAACTTTGCAGTTATTTGAAAGGAGATGTAAAATGAGTATTATTTGGGAGCCTATTATGTGATTGCACAGAGTGCAAAACAATCCAGTCGTGTGCAGTGTATATATTGCTTAAAGACAAAAATTGCTGAGGGAATTAACTCACAGAAGCTGTGAACTGATCAGTCCATTTTGCAAATTTCTTACATCTATGACGACTTACAAAAGCCTTGACTTAATCAACAGCAGAAGCTTAGGAGGAACATTATTTCAAGACAGGTTACCTACCGGTCTGGCTGTACCCGCTGAAGGTGGAGGCTGGTTACGAACTGCAACAGACATGAGAGATTGCTGATTTAGAACATATTTCAAAATCAACTTCTTTCTGTATTACAATTAGTACAGAACGTGTATCTCTATTACCTAAGTTATCTTTTCTTTCTGTTCCAGGACTTTTTTGTGCTTTAAAGCATGGAAAAAAATGAGATTATCTGTGTTAGATAAGCCACAAACAGGTATTAGCTGGCAATGTTACGTCACCACTAGTGAGAATGGGAGCAAAAAGACATCACTGATTGTTTAAAAAGTTGTTACATATCAAAGTCTGTCCATCAGCTAAACTGTCACTCTAACACATTCCTATCCCATGGTCCACACAAAGTAATTTGACTCTTCTAATTACAAATTAAGTCAAATCACCTGCTATTTGTTGCAAGCCAAAGACACTACTTGTACAGATACCCTGTGTCCACAATAGTGCTAGAAGTTGTTTTCTTTAGTGGTGTATTCTGCAGATATTCCAACAGCAGTCTTTAAACCCTAAAGAACCACTCTAACAGTGCACGACTCCACTCTGTGTGTGGGACAAATCTACAGAGCATCAGCCTCACCACTGACACACTGATACTCTGACAACCTCATGGGCAACGTTCGTGTTGGGAAGTGCAAGAGGTGAAAAATTACCCTCAGCTCAGACAAGTGTACAATTTCTAACAGGCAAAGAGGTTTAGGATTCTGCCTTGTGTTTCTGCTGCCTATTTCCCAGGAAGGCAAAATCACCGTATCAGTGACTGTGGTGCATAAGGCAGTTTACCAAATTAGCTTCCAGTTGTCAGATAACCCCAGAACCAGTTGTAATGGGTTTCTGGGCACAGTTCTCAGTGACACAACTCCCACCCTGAGCAACCTGATTGCCAGTTTACCCTCGGAGCAGGAGGTTGGATCACCAAAGGTCCCTTCCAACCTCAACTCTTCTATGCAGAGAGTGATTTTGTCAATTTAGACAAATGAACCAGCAATACAGCCAAAAGTAACTGTAGTGTACAGTCACATCTTGACTGTGACTGTATTAGGACTTGTATTGCCATACCTATATTTGTTACAAAGAGCACATTCCTGAGGGGACAGGAAGAAACCCAAACCCTTGACTCTGCTGGCATGGCTAAAGCAGGATCCATCCCAGCACCAATGCACACATACTCCAACTAGAATGGTGCCAAAGAAATGCTTCTCGTCAATGCGTGTCACATACAATTGGCTATCAGAATCAAAATCCCTACACTGTGCTCTTTAGAAAGAGACAAAATATTCAATTATAGGCTAAATTGTTTAAATGGAAGTTTCTCTCCCCAAAATGTGAACATACATAGTTCTTTATGAAAAATGAGGCTCCCTAGATTCCTGATTTAGTTGCCGGTATAGTAGTCATCCTAGCAGCCAGTCAGCTAAAGCTTCCTCTGACAGTCAGCCTTAAAGCATTCCTGATTAGGGCACTCCGAGTTGTCACTTCATTTTTCATAAATGCCTTCTACAACAATTCCCACCATCACTGAAAAGCAGGAAGCAACTTGGCTGACTGAAAACTATGCTAAATAAAAGCAGAAAGACCCTACACAATAAATACCTTCCTGACAGCACCTTTAGTGTCACAAGAGCAATAACATTACTCAGGTATTAAATTAGAAATCCGTTTCTAGAATACAAAAATTGTTATGTTACCTTCTACTTCTCTCCTAGCTACCCCAGGGCTGGGAGGAGCTCCAAAACCTTTTCAGAGAAAGAAGAGAAGCTGTACATTGCATAAGAAAAGCAGCAGTTTGAGAAAATAAAACCAGAAAGAACACTGCCACAAGACAACTTTACACAATTTAAAACTGGCCTAGCTGGACTATAGTCACTTGTACCACTAAGTAACTGGTGTTACAGTTCAGATTGACAGAAAGAGGATTTTCAATCATGCATAACCATGCTGAACTGTTTTATTTCTGCCATATGGTCAAGCATATACTGGGTCCCTAAAATGATATGGCAAAACCATGGCAGGCATAGACAGTATGCAAGGAGAAATCCTGAAGGCATGCTCATAGGGAAGAGGAACTGTAGTATCTGGCAGCTCCGGAGCGGCTCGAACAGAGAGGAAGGAAAGGGAGCCAGTGCTCAGGAAGCCTACCCTAAACACAGCTCCTGCCTTAGTGATGACACAGCCTCATGCTTGCTCATAGTGTGCCCGTGTGTGGCATCTGCTCAGGAACTCCCTATGATCTGGAAAGAGCACTAGGAATTTTGTCAGGTCTGGGTGGAGGTGTCACTCGGAGTAGGCAGGATGAAGGATGCAGATGAGTTTGGTGTTTGCTTGTCTCCAGATATGTCAGATCTCTGGTTTGGCTGAACATCTGGTTCAAGAATGTGAAATTCCAGCATATGTTATCTGTGCTGGGTGAGGTCCAGGCTCTGCCAACTCACATCAGATTTTCATCACAGGCTATGGGACTCCACCTAACTGGAGGAGTATGAGAGGAGGTGAGGAGCAGCCCCACAGGGCACAGGACACTCCTCTGAAGGCTCAGCAGTTACAGAGGCATAAAGCTAACTGTTCATCTCAGAGTACTGATGGCCATGTACACAAGAAAACCTCTCCAAGAGGAGGAAATGAGTCTGTTCATTCCATGGATCTTCTGCACTTTCCCTTCTCACAGCTCAACTCAGCCCATGCTTTGAATGGGTATTTTCAGGAAGGCTTTGTTCAGCACATCTTGTTTTATGCAGGATGATGACCAAAGCCAGTTCCTTTCAGGAGAAGGAAGGCAGGGTGCCTCCCTGAGCCCAGCACACAGACATGCTCCCATGGCAGTACACTACACAGAGGAAGATCTCTGGGCATGAGGATTTTAGAAGGTTTTGCAAATTTAAAAATGTTCATTACATGGGAGAGAAAGAGCATAAAAGGCAAATACCTGAAACCAAACACTTACTAATAATACTCCTCAGCAGTGATAAAGCAAAATGACAGTGCTGCGATAATGCTCTCATGACTGGATTTACAGGCATATTTTAATCTTATGGACAGTGAAAAATGTACATCTGAACCTGAAACATATTTTTGGGTATCATTTTAAACCGTTCCTGTTATCGTCTGGAGCTTGAAATCTCTGCTTCAGTTTGAAACAGCATTTTGCAAGAACACGTATCACATAGATTTTTAAATAGCATTTTAAGGAAAAGGGTTGGATTTACATGGGAACAGCCTGTAGCTCATGCCCTGACAGCTTTCAGACAGCACTGCATGTTTTGCAAAGGTGATATTTAATGGAAAATAAAGCAACGCCAAATTTTCATAAAGTGAAATGTGCATGTGTGGGCACATGTATGTACATGTATACATGTATATAAAATCCAGGTCATTTGCCTAGATTTGGACAATGCATTTACTGCTGCAGAATTAAGGCTTCTTGTTTCCTCCATCACTGAACATTCCTTCCTCAGCAAGAAGAAAGGTGCTTTTCCCCATATTTAAAAACATCCCCAAACAACTCAACAAATAAAGCTTTTTCAAACTGACTGCCATATCCTACCATATCCCAACAACCTGAACTCTGCAAAATGAACCCTAGAGCTACAGGGGAGAAATAAAGATGTGGAATGGCTCTTGCAGGGCTAAGTTTAATGAGTGACTATAAACAGCAGCATACACTAATCAGTACTTGCTGCCTGAGTGCAAGTATTCTCATAGCTTTCCATACTTGCCTTTCTTTTAATGCCAACTGTATTACTGTATTTTCTAGGTTGGTTTTATTTATATGGAGGATAATCACAATGAAAATGTAATGCATTTTACCCAAATTATTGCATATACTGAAAATACTGTGCATTCCCTCTATCTTAAGCCCATTTTAATACTTAAACCAAACATAAAAGACAACTAAAAGCCTTTACTGCAACAACCAG